CAACAAAGATGGAGACTGTAAAATAAAATGAACTGCAATAATAAAAGCCCCGTCACCAATGTTAGTATTGTGATTGTTTACAGGGACGTTTATTAATAAGATTCCATTTTATTTTGCCAGACTGCCATGCAATGTGACAGAACAGGACCAAACTGAACATGGCCTTTATTAGATTAAAGTGTTTTCAAATAATACCTCAGTCAAACCCAATGAATGCACTGTTGCTTTATCATTTCATCCATATAAAGATCACCAATCGACCTCGCCTAAACATCAAACCAAGCACACAGAGGCCACAGCGCAAAAGCCCATGTCCATCCATCCATCCATCCATTTTCTACCCTTTAATCCATTTCTGGGTCAGGGGGGTGGCAGTCAGAGATGCCACCCAAGTCTCATAGCACCAGCCCCTCACTGACCCTCTGCAGGTGAGTCCACAGGAGGACGGCTGCTCTCTGACTGTGAGCATAGCCTTGATCTTTCAGTGGGGGCTTTGGGCAAAGTGGGGTTAAGTGTCTTGCCCAAGGACACAACGACAGCAGTCATCAGTGGGAGTCGGTGGAGAAGGTGCAGAGGTGGGAATTGAACCCACGACCGTCTGGCCTTAAGGCCAATGCTCTACCAACTGAGCTACTGTCGCCCATGTCAAAGGTCATATTTAAAGTTCTGATGTGGCAGAGACTTGGTGATGGCACTGTGAAGCCATGTCAGAAATTCAGTTATCTTTAATTATTCAATAACATATTTTTTGTTTATTAAGATAAACAATATAGTCTTGGAAAAATGTGTAATCAGACTTTGTCACAACTTTTTTAATAATCTAGGATGAGAGAAATTTGTCTTGAAATGCACAGTAACAGAGACACAATACTACTAAAAAGTGAATTCGTAACTGCATCAGAACAAAAACCAAAAAATTAGGCATTGGCTGCATCTTTTAAAATTCTTGCTTTTACTAGAAACAACCATTACACAAACCCTAGGCCTTTTTAACTGCAGTACATACATATACTAGTAGAGTAAAATAACTACTTTTATTATAAGTACATTCATTGTTATAGTGTAATTCCGCCTTCCAATGACGAGCACGGCCGATTCGGAATTTGGTATTGCACTGAAACGTCTTTGTATCTTTGCAAACTGGTTCAAGTATCTCACACAAAGGCCTCCCTGCAGACTTGTGGTAAGGCTCAGTCAAAAGAACACCCATGCTGATGAGTGGGATTTCTCTTGTGTGCGGTGTTGGACACGGATAACAGTTTTATGCACACTTACGCTGCAGGCCTGTGGCTGCGTCTACAAAAGGTGGGACTGGTGCAGAAAAAATCCACTGGAGATTAAATGAGATTCATCACAAAGTCGAGAGTGTTCTTAGTGTCTCCAGGATGTTAAGTCCTGGGTCAGTGTGGACGCGCTGTAAGAATGCCAATAATAATATCAGATGTCTCGCATAACTGAGAGGTACGCAACAAATCCTGTATTGTATAACCAAGTCACACTTTTGTGCTTTCTTAGAATCGCATTTAACTGAAACAAGCAGATAGATAATTTGTTAACAACAGAGTCAATAACACGTAAAAATACACTGTGAAATTACAGAATTCTGAAAAGATACTTACGCCGTAATATATTGGAAAGGTAATCTACAGCGTTATGTAATCTTTGGCAAATTAAAACTGCGGCGCCAGACTTAAACAAACACTATGAACTAATACAATCCTTCTGAATAGTCCTTTTCTCTCAAAACAGTTTGATTCTATCACTATTTTCATGTAATTGCATTTGTGTATATGTATGTTTTCCAATAAAATCAAGCCAGCATGTTGTGAGCTGATTTTTACAAAACATTATACTTTTAAGCAACTCTTTATGTCTGGACAAACAAAATGAACGAAAAAGCTTAGTTCAATCATGCAATATCTACATTCTTTCCATTTGAATCCAGACAGACATTATGAGCACTCCCGCCAGTGTTGAGATCGCTTTACAAAAGACCCTGCTGTGATCTTCAATATTAACTCGAGACATACTTTTCCACTGTGTTGGCTGTGTGTTTAATAAATGCAGTGCCGCCCAGCACCTCCAGTAGCCCGTTCATTAGAAGGGAATTAGAGTTGACACGGTACGTTCCTGGAGGAGAAGAAAAGCTGGGATTGTTGGATGAGGGGCCAGCTGTGGGCCTGTCTGAGCTGCCCTGATGAGGCTCTCAGATGGACTGCCAAGCCTCAGCACTGCCCCCTTCACCAACATCCACCTCCGAACACAAGAAAGACGAGCTGGGTTTTTATTAAGGCGAGTCGTACACGGGACTTTGACACATGCAGCAGTCACAGGGAAATTGGATAAGGCAGCATCACTCAAGTCAAAGGAGAAATAGACACTGAAGTATATGGATGCTATACTGACTAAATATACTGTAAACAAACTGGTCATATGGCTCACAGCTTGTAAAAAACTCAAAGAAAACATCTAAAAATAACATCTAAATCATAACAAAGGCATATGTCACATTGCTTGTAATGGCTGAGGTCTATATAATATATTTCTTTCACATTTTCATATATTAGTTAAACATTTTAAGATGAATTACAGAATAAATGAACTTACAATATTATAGTTTGCAGAGTACTAATATACATAAACAAACTTGAAACTGGGGTGACTCTTCTTTTTGAGGGGTAATCCTATCATCTATCTCAGTGTCTCCCAAAGTGGGGTCCGCGGCCCCCTGGTGGGCCGCGAGGGTACTGCAGGGGGGCCGCGGGAGGTCATAAAAAAAAAAATAATAATAATATAATTATTTAATGTTAAATTTATAATGTTTTGTTTGTAATATTAAAATATTTGTGTTCATTATTTGACTTGAATAATCCACTGTAATCATTTTTGTATTACAATGTTTGTAGCAGAGGCTATTTCCCCAAAATAAAATAACCAGAAGAGCCTATTCTTAATGTTGTCTTCTTGGTTATTATTTTGGGGGGGCCACGCAGACCCGTCAAATTTTTAAGGGGGCCTCGGTGTTACTGAGTTTGGGAATGGCTGATCTATCTAATTCGTAGAAATATCTGTTTAGGAGAAAACTGTAAAGGTATTGTAATTTAAAGCCTTAAGATCAGATTCAGATTCAATTCATTTGCCATTTGCAGTAAAACCACATTGTTATACATTTGCAGAAGTCCCCAGTGTGCACAAGACAAGTACATAAATAAAAGAAGGTTAACACCAGAGCTCCTGCTGCGGCGTTCTGACTCGGCGCCATCCTTTATGATTACTGTAAATCATCAAGGAAGGAATCCTTTTATATTTTCAAAAACACTGACAAGATTTGGTCAAAGATAACAGCTTTGTACGTACATTAAAAGCCTCATCTGAAATTCCTCACATATTTAATGGGACAGATTTGTTTTTGCAAATGAACTGAGCTATTGAAATGAAACGAGGAGTTCTCTTCCGTTTTGAATTATCTAATATCCTCCAGACAGCTTACTATAGTGAAAACATCAAACATCAATAGCCGCCGCCTTTAAACAGCGGTGCATCCCACTGATCAAACTATGCAAAGAACCAGTGTCCCCAAATGCACCAGGAACAAGCCGACACATTGTACCGAGATGCTGTCAAACACTTTGATACGAGCATCCAAAGGTCTGCATGAGAAGCTGTGGCTCAGAGCAGCGGCAGACAGCACATGTAAACGTGTGGTAAAAGGGTCCAGACAGGGAGAGCCGTAAAGCTGTAAGGTCACAGGCTGTAAACTTCAGGAGCGCACAGGGGCTGACGGCTCGGCTCTGGGGGGCTGCGGCCCTGAGACTCAGAGTAATGTGTGATGTGGGTGGGCATGAAGACGTCAGCCTGAAAAACTGTGAAAGCTGTCATCGCAACAAGAGGATCACGCAATAGGATAAATCAATAGCTATGGTTGTAATGAATAGGAAACATAAACAAGACAGAAGGCCTATATACAGAAGGAAGTTTATAACATAATCAGCTTTGAAAATAATTCCAAAGCAGCTTTATTATATTTGGACAAAACTGTTCACTGTTCACTGCTGTATCAATCATGTATTTCTCACGTGTTATGATGACTACAGTATGAAGAGTTGGCAGTGACAGAGCTTTAAGGTCATGAGGTTGGAATAACTTCTTTATATAAATGGTGATGGTGGTGTATGATCCTGCGTGTTTATAGTTTTGTCTTGTACAGTCATGTTTTCCACGGAAATCATTTTCTGTCTAAATGTTTAATGATCAGCTAAATATCATTTCAATGCATTTTTATTTATTCAGAATATCAGAACACACCACATTGTTCTTCCTTCACACTTAAAAGGGACAGCAAGAAACTGATACTCAGGGAGTCTCCCGATTAATGGCCCCATAAAACATCATAGTATAAAGTCTCATGTCAATCTACTTTAGTTCTGGCATGTCCGAACTAAAGCCCACGGGCCAAATGCTGTGTCATCTTAAATGGCCCTCTTCAATGCTAACACAATTGAGGTACATCAAAGTGTCATCCAGCAAAATTCAGCTCCACCAATTAATCAAGCTATACCTTGTAAATTTCAGAATATTTGGAATTCAGATGTTGACTTTATTTTTACACTCTGACATTTGTTTTTGTTGATTCAATATACAATACAGACCAATACAATACAATACAGAAAATGGTACATTTTACCATATGAAAATGATACATTTTCATGTCTGAAAATTGTTATGACACTGAAGATTCACACTGAAGGCATCAAAACTATGAATTAACTCATGTGGAATGATGTACGTACTAAAAAAAAAGTATGAAACAACTGAAAATACTTATATTCTGGGTTCCTCAAAGAAGCACCTGTTGCTCTGATTACTGCTTAACACACTCTTGGCATTCTCTTGATGAGCTTCAAGAGGTAGTGACCAGAAATGGTCTTCCAACAATCTTGAAGGAGTTC